CGACGTTTTATGTCCGCAGGTACACTCCTCAGTCTGTGGAACTTGACCAGGAGCTGCGACCCTTCGTTCCGGACCTGATTCCAGCTGTGGGGGACATCGATGCCTTCTTGAAGGTATCTAGGCCTGATGACCAGCCGGACACCCTGGGACTAACGGTTCTGGACGAGCCCCAGTGCGTGTCAGACGGACCCAAGTGTCCTCGACCTCCAGCTCAGGGCCCTGTCCAAGGAAGCGCACACCAGCAAGAGCGCGGTCAGTGTCGCAAAAGAAAGCTGCACTGAATGGTTTCACGCCGCTACGCCTGTTGTCATGTTACCACGCCAACATCGTGCGCGCACCATTAACATGACGTGTTCTGCTCTTTTTTACATGACCCGTATTTGTCGTCCCAGCGCATCATGATGTTGATAATTGCTATACGGTGTTCTTGCCGCTAGAAACAAATTCTATAGTCTGAACTACGCTTCAAAAAGTATGTGCTCGACGAGACGAAATGAGCCAGCTGAAGGCCTGGCATATACAGTTACTATCAATGTCTATATAAAATCAATGCGGAGCCATATGCTTACTTAAAGGACACATGCAAAGGAAAAAAACATATTTTTTAGACAGCTTAGATGGAAAAAGGATGTCATAAAACAATTTTACAACGAAGAAACAAAATTTTTAGAGCTATATTTACGGCGCTCTACGAATTTGTAGTTGGCGCTCGCGGGAGCCGCCGCTGGTCACGTGGTAGGGCCCGCGCGCCGCCGCGCTGCGTCGCCGCCGCACGCTGAGCGTTTGTGCGAACGCCGCTTCAAACGCGTTTCTCCACGCCGCCGTCGCCGCCGCCGCCACAAGTTCGTCTGCTTCGGGGCGCCGCCCGCCGTCGTCTGACCGGCGCACGGGTCTATCACGTCTGCTTGCGCTTTTTCAGGAGTTTCCTTTGGGCTCTAAAAGTTACTTATTCGTCTTGGTTTTTTGTTATACTTCAAACAAAGATGAATAAGTTACTTTTAGAGGCCATAGGAAGCTTTCGAAAGAGCGCAAGCACCACGTGATAAATAAAAACCAGTCACGTGATAAATACAGACCAGTCACTTGATAAATACAGACCACTTTTCCGCTGCGACCCCGCCGGCGCCAACTACAAAATTCGTTTTGCGCCGTAGATATAGCTGTAAAAATTTTTTTTCTTAGTTGTAAAATCGTTTTATGGTGTCCTTTTTCCATCTAAGCCGTTTAAAAAAAAATGTTTTTTCCTTTGCATGTGTCCTTTAAGGCTAGAGGGACTGCATGCTAAACTTTAAATCTGGTTACGCATGGTATGCGGCACAAAAAAAAAAAAAAAAAAGCGCCACAGAAGCGCGATACTTATCCCAAGAGTAACAAAGGGGTTCATATTGTGCCGCTTAATACTAACATATGTCACGTGTAGCAAGTTTTATGGGCAATATAATGCATGTGTAACCCTTGAAAACGTCGTTTTCTCGGAGTTTTAGGGTATATACAGTATTTTACTCATGAGACCTCTATAAATGGCATTGCTTCCGGGATACATTTCAAAGAAAATTGCGGACTTCTTATGCATGTTCATGAGTAACGACTTGCGTAGAGTAACAGATTTAGAGCGTATGTGTACACATTAGAGTACGTGAACAACTCCTCAAGTGGAGTGGCGAGGACGCGCACTCCGCCGGTCCATATAGTTTCCTTGAGCATTCGTTCAGCTGCAGGCCACCAGAATGGCCGCCGATATGATTTAATTGAAAGCTATGTATTGCCCAACATTGGAAATGCTATTTTTACGATTTTATCATGCTCTAGGTTTCTTCTCAGTTCGAACTTTTCGTCATGCGTTTGCCCGTGGAAAGGCAGGCACCGTGTCATAAAGCCAGTGTCTGGAGGTCGCTGACCTTGTTGTAAAAGGCTGCCTGTGCATAGATGGCGGTAACCAGGACGAGAAAGAGTATGAGTTTGCACCATATTTCCACTGGGGGTGAAAGGAAGCCCATTACTCGATGACGTCTTTACGGGGTTGATTTAATACTGGCCAAGGCTATACGTATGCGCACTCTACCAGACCAATTGAATGGCCCAGGATGGCTTGGCACACCGTTGCCTGGACCATCTTCAGGGTGTGCGCCCTTCATAATGTTCAGAAGCATGAACACGTGCTACTGAACATAGCCTATGCGCTTATCATCGTATCTGGTCCGTCATCGTAGGTTGTGAAGAGGCTCACGGATCCGGATAAAAACCCGAAAGAGATAGAGTCCTGGATTGCAAGCGTTCAAGAGCTGCATCGAGCCAGACCTCCTCCAACGGTACACTACAGCAGGTATTGATCCTTCAGCACCCGCGGTTCGGCTTGAGACATCGTAGTATCGGAATATGCGTGAAATTGTGACATACTTGCAATCAGTACATCCACGAAAATAAGATAACGAAGAGTTTGCGAACATTCATGACCATGATTCACTTCTTTTAGAAACATGCCGGACATCGAGTCTCTGATGCAAGAGTGGCCACCCGAATATGAAGAATTGTTGAAGGAGGTACACTTGAAAACTGAATGATTGGAGTCACACGTCGTGAAATGTTGAGAAATTCATGTCTCTTCTAGGTGCGTTTGCCGTCGGCGGATCTGGACTGCAGTCTGGAGGAATATGCTACCCTCGTTTGTGGTACGTGTATTTTTGTATGTTCATTACGCCATGTAGAATAGGATAAGAGCAGCGTATCTATATCTTATGTGGTCGTCTGTGCAATCTCTTAGGTTTGAGTCTAGAATACTGGTGATTTCTGTGTTATGCGATTTCTGAGGTTAAGAGTCCAGGATAAGCTCCTACCACTTCTCTCCACTTTAGCAGATCGAACGCTGGAGAGAAGGCATCCTCCTCTCCAGCGTTCTCTTTACTAACGTGGAAAGAGGAAGAGGAGACGCTTCTGAACTCTTACACTTATATAATACAATAATACCTTTTATTTACCATGCAAGTATAACGGGCATGGTGGCGTAGGGGCCGAAGGCGTAGGTAAAATGCGATAGAGAACCTTCAGGTGATATCTAATAGAGATGGTAATGAAAACGGAAACACTCTTTTTCGGAGTTTAGTAAAATATCACGACCATACACACTCATAAGCTCTGGACTGTATCCAATATGGCGGGACATTTGTTGCCATGACCCTTCTTTTTGTCTAGTGAATCTCGGTCAAGTGTTGTGTGTTCGCTCTTTCTGTTCAATTTCACTCTCCCGCCTAAGACTTTTCGTAATTCCAAATGCAGTTCTCATGGACATCCCCGTATACAAATCCAAACTGGTGCAATCGCTCCACGTGCTTTTCACACTCTATGCCGAGTTCAAGAATTCTCAGGTAAGTGATTTACATGTCACAGATAATCGTTTGTGTACACGAGATACATTCTTGCCTTCCCCAGCATTTCAGTGCCCTGGCCATGGAAAACAAGCTCGACAATGATGCAAACGACGATGCTGATCGTCTTGTGCTGTAGGCATGACAACGGTACACCAAGGCCAGTTTGTGTCATCTACCGTTAAATCCAAGACTGTGCACCCACTTTTCGTTGGACCACGTGCATTTTGTATCGTGCAACCTTTGGAACTGGTCTTGGGAACTCTAATACCCGTGCCACACGGGCAACTCGAATGCCATTTACAACGAATGACATTTGAACGATCGGCCAATCAGCGCGCGACACTCCGAGCGTGGGGCGTTACACGCGCGACAGATCGCGAGCCGATTCGTCGATCAAACGAATGTCATTCGTTGTAAATGGCATTCGAGTTGCCCGTGTGGCACGGGTATTAACAAAATTAGGAAAATACATTTGTCGTATAGGATCATTTCCGAGACGTCATCTTGTACCAGACTTGAGAGAACAAATAAATATCCTCTCTCTTATTGTATGGTGTCCCGCCATCCCACTTCTAATACGTACCATAGCCTCCTCTATACTCATAAAGCCTGACAGTTCGACGACGGAGCCAGTGGCCGGTCGCAGATTCGGAGCGCGAGGATCTGGTAGCACAGAGCATCAAAGAGCTATTTCTCGGGGAACCTGGACGTCAGCGCACAGCTTTTGCAGCGGCGAGGACCCTAAACACACTTGTTCGCTCGGGAGAAAGTGTGCTTCGGCGTATCGCCGCAGCGGGGCGCCAGTCACGTGGCTCTCCTCTCATCCGTTGTCTGCTGCTCCACCTTTTTCATTTCGGCGGCCGCTTCTGTATGGCGATCTGCCAGGCTTTGTCAGTATATATTAGCGGCGAGATGTATACGGTGGCGCCCTCGTATGGTTACCTTTCATGATGTCATTACCTTGGGAACAACAAGTTCGATGGTGTTTCTAATTAGCATGGCGGAAGCTTGAAATCATAGCGTTCTTGAACCAAAACGCTGTCAACACCGTCAAAATTAAAGTCATCACGTTCCTCTTATTTCCGTCCATGAGAACTCCTTCGCTGACGTCATAAGTCATTATTCGGCCAATCGCGCACGACTCCTTTTCATATTTAGTATGCAACGCTGTCAAAGCTACTGGCGCGAGCGCGTGGCTTTGTCTATGGTTTCGTTCGCGCGAGCGCGCGTGCAAATGATCAACGAGATCAAGCCTCATGCTCGCGCCAGTAGCTTTGACAGCGTTGTACGCTAAGTGTGAAACAGAACCATTAAATGAGCTGCGCTTAGAGTATCGGCACTCCGTTCCCCGACATTGTTATGGGCGTCGCCATTTTGGTGCTTGTGCAGAGCAGACGCAACTGCCGATCGTCATGATTCGAAAGTGCGACTTCCTCAGCATTAGATTCGGTGTTAGGAAGCTCATGTAATATTGCTTTGCTTTTTCGCGAACTGTTTGAACTTTTTTGGAGGACGGAAAAGAGTTTCCTGTGATTTCAGATAAAGCTTCAGATAACTGGCAACCATGATTTTAAGCCACAATATGGCCAAGTGTCGTTACTCTAAAGTGTATACCTAATTTAGTGGCACTAGTTGTGCTGACATGAAGGTCGTTCATATCCAAAAGCGACCTCCTAGCTCTTTGACCAGGGATTTCCCCAGGAATTGAAATTAAGGGGGGGGGGGGGGGGGGGGGGGGGGTAAGGGGGCATTGAGAATAGAGGAGTCGCTGCGAACAAAGGGGGTGCCTTCAGAAAAAAACAAGGGGGACGTGTACAGCCCCCTAGGGGTGTGTAGGGAAATCACTCCTTGTGCACAGGGAGCGTCTCATGACATTGACATTTTTGAGAAGTCCAGCCGGTAAACAGTTTTGTTTAGTTTTGATAAGCCCAGGCTCAAGACAGATCATAGTTTTTTGTCTTCTTTTTTTTAAATTTTCTTGCGAGGGGGAGGGCGCGGACGCCGCTCCCCCACTACCAAAAATTGCATGCCCCAGCTATCCCAGTTTGGGAAAGTGGCGGGCTTTAGCTGCCCGCAGTGCAATGGACAGCCTCCACCCAGGGCGCCCCCCTTGGTGATCAGGGGCCACCCGGCACCAGGTAAGTATGCTCGCTGACGGCAGCCGAATAATGGTCTCCGACAACGCGCACTCTTTTCGGGCCGCTGACCAAGTGCACAGAACGTGAGTTCTTATCTCATTGAAGGCAGCTGATACAGATATTTATTATGATTCAGTTTCGTTCGCGAGATCTACACGTATCTCTAATATTATTAACCCCAATGAAGACACGAAATCATAAACTTTACCGACGTGCGTGGCCAAGGTACCTTCTTCGGCTGCGACGGGGTTTGTGGCGTGCGCTGCAATGCTCGTGGTGTTTCACGTGACAGAACTGAGAAGATTTGGTCTACCATGTCCTGTCTAGACTCTAGCCATGCCTACCCACTGCGAGTGTTTCTTCTATCGTGCACTGTAGAAGAAGTACCTTGAGATGAGTAATCAGCAGGAATACCCAGTACCACCGCATATTTACGTGCAAGGCTTCTGGCAGCCATCACATTAAGAATTATTGCATAGGGTGAGTGTTTTCCTCTTGTCAAGGTAGCCTGCTAGACTGTCGAGCTGCTAAATACTACTGCTTGCCTGCAGGCAAGCAGCAGTTTTCGACTTGCCCACTAGCCTGTACACTACTACTGTGAAGTAGAAGTAGTTTCTAAAATAAAACCAGAGCGCCTGAACGAAGTTAAACGTTCGTACTTCTAGCCTTTGCTGTGAGCTGCGGGCGTCTCTGCCGAGCATGCCCTCTCCTGCAGTGCGAGCACTGCATAGTTCGGGACAACATGCTCCGGTTTGGAGGCTTTGTATGCACATAAGGTGAATTTAACTAACTGTACTCCGTTTCTATGTTTACAAAATCGCAGTCCAGCCTGTGAACATCACAGCCCAGCGCGCGTATGATCATCGCTTCGGGAAGTGAGATAAACAGGCGCCATACGCACGACCTCCGAAAATGGCACCAACCAAAAACCAGTTTTGAAATGAAAAAAACAAAACAACCTTTTTGTTAAATTATTTAAGTACCAAGGAGCATGTTGCGAGTGTATAGTTACACGCGCTGCACGTGCTGGCTTCCGCAGTAGTAATTTTGCTAAAGCAAAAGCCTAAAACAAATATAGTCTTGCACGCGCGTTCGCCAACGCCTTATGATGGTTATTTACTTCGAATCTTTTACACGGGGAAGGCGAGCGCGTGCGGCACGTGTACATACATTCCCAGCATTCTCTAGGATAGAGGAGGAGATGAGAGCACGCGGGGACGTCCGAAGGCCGAGCTCTGGTTGGAATGACTAGTGGGTAGACGCAAAGCTACATACCTTTGCCTCTTCTCACTGTTCGAAAGCGAGCGCCCAACACCCCAAGTAGCACTAAACGTAGCCACAATGTTACTGGAATGTTGCCAGGTAACGTTGCCGAACGTTGCTAACGACCGCGGATTCTACCGTCCAGTAACGTTACACCACAATGTTACAGTAACGTAACTGCATACGTTACCTGGACATTACCCAAATAATGTTACTGGAACGTTGTTAGATAACGTTGCCAAACGTTGCTAATGGCCACCAGTTCTACCTCCCAGTAACGTCGCATCAAAATGTTGCAGTAACGTAGCTCTCTACGTTACCTGGGCGTTAGATCAGTGATGTTACTCGGACGTCGTCAGCTAACGTTGCCAATTGTTGTTAATGGCCACGAATTCTACAATCCAGTAATGTTACACCAAAATGTTGCACTGACATTACGGCTTACTTAAAAGTGAAGGAATAAAAACGCGAAGAACATGCACAAACGAGCACTTTTTCATTTCGCAACAACGTTTATTTTTTCAGGAGCAAAGAGTCGCACACAGGTCGAGATCAACTAGATACCGAAGGCGGGAGGGAAGAGGGGGATAGGGAGATAAGGGCCAGAACTGGAAAAATCTGGGAACCTTGACTAAAACACATGAAGTGTCACTGACTCAACCCTTATCTTCCTGAAGTTCCCTCGATCAAGCCTTCCATTTGCAGTTAATCTTGACCTGTGTGCGAGTCTTTGCTTCCAAAAAACAAGCGTCACAACTAAATGAAAGAGCGGTCATCTGTGTTTGTCCTCAGTGCTTTTATTCTGTCAACTTTCAGTAAACATTTTAACAAAATGCTGGCACTGGCCAGATATTACTGCATGTGTTACTTGGACATTACTGAACAATGTTACCCGAAAATTACTAACATTGACAAGCTTTGCCAAGAAACTGCATATATGGTTCTCATGAAGTCATTTTTTGAGCTGGTGCCTGATATGAGTAAATGGATGAGCATTACAGGCCATTAATGAATCAGCATTTTGAAGTCCTAGAAGCAAGACTCCGGAAGAAAACAAGAGGTTATTGGAATAAATTTATTTCAAAAACGAAACAAACGTTACAAGTACCAGTGTATACTTCTGTTTCTTACAAGCTATTAGATCTACAAAATTATAAAGAACACGCTAAATTACAAGGCTGATCTGCATGGAAATAAAAATGCAAAATATTAAAATTCCCAGCAACATAAAGCAAGCAGCAGAAAAAAAAGCTTTTAAATGATTTAGGTAACATGAATTTTTTTTTTCAATTCCATGCATTTAAGACGGTTAACCAATTCCATGCTTCCAACAGGGATCAAAGTAACCAACTACAGACATTTAAAACTATAACAGAAAAATCAAGGCAGAAACATGCTGAAAAACAGTGCAAAATGCACGGATAAGAGAACACACAGGACAAGGTGCTGTGTGTTCTTTTCTCTTTGTCTGGTTTTTGCACCGTTTTTCAACATCAATTCTTACCAACTAGCCCAGCCCAACTGTCCATTCTTGTAATCAGAAACATGCTTGCCTTCTCCCCTTGTGGCAGCCCCTCAGTCACTCCTGGGAAGAGGCACGCTGCTCCTGCAAAAAAATAAAACAAAAAAGTTGGTTGCGTTCAGATAATGGGTGCCTATTTCAGTGCAGAGAGTGTCATCAAGATAAAAAAAAATGCCTACCTCTGTCCTAACACAGTTTCGCCTCAGTTTCTTTGCATGCACAAGCCATTCTTTTCATCCAGTTTAGACCTCTTCCGCAAAGTGTGACCTACCCACAAGGAGTGATGCGCCTGCTCAAGCATGTTTTGATGGCTGAGCACTGGCAACACGTTCGGCCAACAACCTGATATGGCAGTCCCACAGAAAACCATGCCATGTGTCTGATTCTCACTCTCCTTCTAGGCCTCTTTCAACTTCTTTACACTGAAGCATAAAAAGCTACCTGCTAGCAAAACAAACTCTCTAGCTAGCTGAAGCCTAACGTGGACCTAATGAAAACATGCTAGAAAGATTTTTAGGCAGTAATTGGGGCCCTGTCCAGCACTCATTTCTTTATAATCACAACAAACTAGTGTAGCAACTGGTCCACAGGGCACCTTTACACAGCCTTCTCAGGGTGTTCATATGACTATGACTGGAATGGCACCATGAGTGCCAGACACCTGGCACTTGCAGCTGATCAACAGTCTTATCAACTAGTCATATCAATTCTCCCGAAAACGATTCCCTCTGTCCTCATTAACAACGTGGGGCAATGGGGTACAGGCAGGGTATTGAACCCAACCCGAACTGTGAACCGAAAAAAACCGTTATTTTTGCAAGAACCGGAGTTGACCCGGAACGAAATAATTTTTCTCGCTCCGGAGCAGAACCAATATTTTTCCATGCGGTTTTCGGTTCATACGCAAAGTCAGATTGCGTGAAAAGTGCGTGGCGAAAAACACAGTAACCTTAAAGACCGACCAACGAAACCATTTTCCGCAAGGTAGGAAAATGCCCCTCTCGCCCTCCTCTTTTCACCCTCTCCTGAAAATCACGTGACGACAGGGGCTTGTTTCGTGTCGGCTTTTTCTGTAGGGATAATCCTCAAAAAGCGCAAAACGAGCGGCTAGCTGCGAGCGCCACCACGACCTTGAGACGTCCAGGTTTCTTCCCTCGTTGACGCGGGCACGCTCAATCCGCGAGATTGAGGAAGCCAGCGCGACAGAACGCTTTTTCCCATGAGCTGCAGGTCCGAGGCCGCTCTGTCGGTGGAGATCGAGGGGTCGTGGTAAGCTGGGTTCGTTCCAGCAGCCGCTTTCTGGCATCGCGCGGCTGCTGGAACCATTCCCGTGTCTGCACAACGATTGGATTGCGCAATAAAGGGTTCTGGTCGTTGATAATACTCTTATTTCCGAAACTTATAAATCAAGTGGCTTTCCCTAATATCTTCATTACTGTTTGAAACACATTTCCTCTCATAGGTTGTTCATCCCATTTTTGACTCTTTTGCGTATTTATTCGTCCTTACCTCTGCTTGATGACTGTTTTATAACTTGATAAAGACCTTTAAATATTGGCGCGCGCTTGCGCGATCAACGCTGTCCCGGATTTATCGAAAATTGGAAAGATTGGCGTCAGGAGGGGTTGAAGAAGCAAACCGAAATTCTTGCTTCTAATGAAAACGGCACAATCGTAAGATGGGTCTTTGCTTCACTCTCCTCCGCAACGCCCCATCGTTCGCACTATCGCAACTTCTCAGTAATAAAGCTGTATACCGCATTTTACTCATAGTTACTATAGACGTGGCCCCACAGGCTTTCCCGTTATCAGCGAGTCGACATTTTAACGACCGGCGACTCTCCTGAGTGAGAATAAATATTATCATGTTCCCACAACATCCACCCCTTTCTCTCTCTCTCCCCCCCCCCCCCCCCCCCCCCCCTCTCTTTCCGGAGTTGGGGAGATATCAGGCCACTCCAGGAAGCAGCCTGCAGACTGTGCTTTTTAGCTACCCATTCTCAACACATTCGAACGTGGAAGTAAACACATCGCATGAACGACGCCCAGTTTATTTGCAACCTAAATAATGTGGCTCTACTGTTGGGACCCAATCAATTTCATCATCAATCATTATTTCTTACGATTTCATGGTGAAAGTGTGTTCGTCGTTATGCCACAAAAGTTTTCGATTCAAAGAGACGATTTGCAATTTTCCCAAGCGCCCCGGCCCGTGCGCGAGGATTTGCGGGAGAGACTGTCCCTCGCCTGGCCGCTCTGCCTTGAGACCGCATCGCCTATTCGCTTGCATCCTCTGAATCCTCTGTTTTTCGATTCCATTACCTATTTTTATCTATTCCAGAGTATTTTTTATTGCTTCTAAGTGTTTCTATTCTCTTCTGCGCGCGATATTTCTCGTATATCTGGTATTTGTGTCTTTATTTTGCCTTTTTCGACGGGAGTGCCGACAGACAACACGCCGCTTCGCGCGTCGTTCCCGGGGTGAGTGCTACCATTGCTACCGATTCCTGTCACGCAGTTAGGTGTTCATTTTGGTTTATTTGACCCGCGTGCAGTCGAGGGGAGCCGTTTATGAACGCCGCAGCGTTGCATAAGGAATATGCAACGCCGCAGCGTTGCATATGCCTCAGCCTCGCAAACATTCGGACAAATGGTTCGCGGCAACAAAGCGGCGTGCTGTATCTTGGTCAAGTAAGCGGCACTCGAAGGCACACGCTACAGTGAGAGTCAACGGAGCGAAAGCGGGCGGCCAAATCACAGCGCTCTCGCGGCTCTCACGTCGCGATTGTTGATTCAGAGCTCTGCTTATCCCTACGAAATGTGCGCGGGTGTTTATAAACGGCTCCTCTCGACTGCACGCAAGTCAAATGAACCAAAATGAACAGCTGACAGCGCAATATGAATCGGTAGCAAAGGTACCCACCCGGGAACGACGCGCGAAGCGGCGTGTTGTCCGTCGGCACTCCCGTCTAAAAAGGCAAAATAAAGACACAAACACTATTTATATACAAGAAATATCGCGCGCAGAAGAGAATGGAAACACCTAAAAGCAATAGAAAATACACTGTAATAGATAAAAACAGGTAATGGAATCGAAAAACCGAGGATTAAGAGGAGGCAAGGGACAAGGCAATCCGATCTCAAGGCAGAGCGGCTAGGCGAGGGACAGTCTCTCCCACAACTCCTCGCGCGCGGGCCGGGGCGCTTGGGGGATTTTGCAAAAGGTCTAATATACTCGCTCCTGTGACGCTCTAGTGCGTAAGGTCCCGGTTTTTTACGTCCTTTCGGCGCTCCTCAAAACGCACAGTGTTCGGCTTCTAAACGCTGTTTTTATTTTCTTACGGAAATAAAACAAAACTACGTAATAATTTTTCACACCAGTGCAATGCAATAGAGACTTCTATTTCCAGCAAGCTGCTTTCCGCCATGCTTCCATGTCATCCTCCAGGCCGTGAATGTTTGTGCACACTGATTAAACTATTTACATGTAGGTTGGCATGCACTAGAAATCTGGTACTTTCTTTTAGAAGCAGCATGTTAGTGCACTTAAAGTCCCCCAGCGTCTTGCCTTCTAATCACGTGGAAGGAAAAAGGAAATATCCCGGGCATGATTCGTGTAGAAGACTAGGTTCAGTGGGCGCCTATTATTTCTACAAACTCCCTGGCAGATTCACCACCATATAGCCTGCTGTCCTTTCCCCAAGAAGCGAGGTTTTGATAGAATTTCGTTGCTCGGCTGCTATCTTTTGTAGTGGCGCGAAAAAGAGAGAGAGAGGGCGGGAGGGGGAAAGCAACGGTATTTGCAGGCTGATCTTTTTTTTTTTTTTTTGCAATTGCGATATTTTGTTTGTTTAGGTATGCTTTTGTGGTGTAAACAATTTTACACACTTCCCACACATATTTCATCATCAACGACAGTTGTAAAGTATTACGCACTGTCTCGGGTGCGTTGACCTTGCGCACTAGAGCGTCACAGGAGCGAGTATTTCCGCAAAATAAATACGAGGACCTATCCCTTTGAATCGACCACTTTTGTGGCATAACGACGAACACACTTTCACCATGAAATCGTAAGAAATAATGACTGATGATGAAATGATTGGGTCCCAACAGTAGAGCCACATTATTGAGGTTGCAAATAAACAGGGAGTCGTTCATGTGATGTGTTTACTTCCACGTTCGAATGTGTTGAGAATGAGTATATACTAAAAAGAACAGTCTGCAGGCTGCTTCCCTGGAGTGGCCTGATATCTCCCCAACTCGGGAAAGGGAGGGGGGGGGGGGGGGGAGAGAGAGAGAAAGGGGTGGATGTTGTGGGAACGTGATAATATTTATTCTCACTCAGGAGAGTCGCCGGTCGTTAAAATGTCGACTCGCTGATAACGGGAAAGCCTATGGGGCCACATCTATAGTAACCATGAGTAAAATGTGGTACACAGCTATGTTACTGAGAAACTGAAATAGTGCAAACGATGGGGCGTTGTGGAGGCAAGTGAAGAAAAGACCTATCTTACGATTGTGCCGTCCTCATTAGAAGCAAGAATTTCGGTTTGCTTCTTCAACCCCTCCTGACGCCAATCTTTCCAATTTTGAATAAATCCGGGACAGCGTTGATTGCGCAAGCCCGCGCCAATATTTAAAGGTCTTTATCAAGTTATAAAACAGTCATCAAGCAGAGGTAAGGACGAATAAATGCGCAAAAGAGTCCAAAATGGGAGGATCAACTTATGAGAAGAGATGTGTTTCAAACAGTAATGAAGAGATTAGGGAAAGCCACTTGATTTATAAGTTACGGAAATAAATGTATTATCGTATCGACGACCTGTACCCTTTATTGCGCAAGCCAATCCTTGTGCAGACACGGGAATGTTCCAGCAGCCGCGTGATGCCAGAGAGCGGCTGCTGGAACGAACCCAGCATACTACGACCCCTCGATCTCCACCAACCGAGTGGCCTCGGACCTGCAGCTCATGACGGGAAAAAGCGTTCTGACGCGCTGGCTTCCTCAATCTCGCGGACTGAGCCTGCCCGCGTCAACGAGGGAAGACACCTGGACGTCTCAAGGTCGTTGTGGCGCTCGCAGCTAGCCGCTCATTTCGCGGCTTTTTAGGATTATCCCTACAGAAAAAGCCGACACAAAAGAAGCCTCTGCCGTCACATGATTTTTAGGAGAGGGTGAAAAGAGGAGGGCGAGAGGGGCATTTTCCTACCTTGCGGAAAATGGTTTCGTTGGTCGGTCTTTAAAAGTAAACCAAAGAATGAAAGACAAAAAAAATATTTTTGCGCAAAACGGAGTTGAGCTGAACCGAAATAATTCTTTTTTCGTTCCTGGGCAAAACTGATCAATTATTTTTGTGGTGCTCCGTTCATGTGGAAAGTCAAAAAGCGAAAAAAAAAATAGTTAGCGGAAAGCTCTGTAACGTTCCATTATCAGGTTGTCAGATAACGGTCGTCTTCATAATTTATAGTTTGTTTCGAGAACTCAAACGAAATGAGCAGAGTAACTATAAATTCTCCGGGATTTCTTGTCTTATGTATTTCTTTAACAAAAGTTCACATTCGTCCCAACCTTTTCTTGGTGACCGGAAATGCCTCCTCAAAGAAAATTTAACACTAGAACATACACAATTCGTACATTAGCAAAAGTGACCATAATGAGCCTGTTTGGTGGCAAAACGGTAAGTTGGGCTAGGTGGTTTTTCATCACGGACTGAACGAAAAAAAAGGACAAAGAGAGGTATAGACAACACCCCTAGTGTTGTCTATACCTCTCTCTGTCCTTGTGTTGTTGTTTTTTTCGGGCTTAGTTTAACTTTTTTGCGTGTTTCTTGTCTCTAATTTTGTAGAATTGAGTTCAATTTACTTTAGACGCCTTGATTTCATTGTACAACTGATCGGATAAGAAAGTGATACAAAGGCCGATGGATATTTTAGAACCTGCACTAGTTGCCATACTGTGGCGCATCTAATCTGCTCTCCAATTAACTCAGCGGATTTAATAATCAGTCCGAAATTAAAGTCTAGCACCGGGAAGGGGAGAGGGGATTTAATCAACAGTTACAGAAAACAGCAAAAAAGCTTCGATCTCTGGTAGCAGAAACAGCAAGGACCAAAACATTTTCTCCTCAGAAACACAAACATCAAGGCGCACAGCTCTTCTGAGCATTGCTAGACAAGGAGCCGCGGCTTTGAAGGGACGCTAACGTGTTACAGTTTTGGGAGGAAAGAAGGGGACGCCATACAGAACTCTACCCATTGGCGCAAGAGCCCTGGGAGTGCCTGCGACCCAGGTCAGCGCGCAGCGAGCCTTTTCTGGACTGAAGTTCATTCTATCGTCTCAGAGGGGCCGTCTTTCCCCGGATATGCTTCTTCGGTCAGCTGCCTGACATTGAACAGCGCTTTTACCCACGTCCCGAGGTGCCTTAGCACTAGCTCGTTCGTTCCACACAGTAATGTGAGCCTTTGCTTTCTATTTGTAACCCTTTTATACAATATGCATAGTTTATCTTTTGCTCGTCAACTGTTTTTGAAGCATATGAGTACGAACAGGTTCGAACCGGCTTGAACCTTTTTTTTTTCACTCCGGAGTTGAACCGGAGCTGAACCGTTCTCCCTGAACCAGAACGAAAAGCGGAACGAAAAACATTTCGGTTCGACAAACTGGGTACAGGACATTTCATCGAACGCCGTTTCATTAAATCACTTGACGCCGTTTCATTGAATTTCCCTTTACTAAATTTTGGAGTAATACAATTCTTTTTGCATAATTTACTATTGCTTTTGAAATAGTTTTGACGCCGCTCTAAATTCACCAGAAATATAATTACTACCCGGTAAATTTTTTGTCCACCTAAACGTTGGCTACCGAATCATAGAAGGTTGCTATCATATTGAAATTTGAGTGGATACGAGACTTATTCTTTTCCGGCGAGGTAGGCGGCTGTTCTCAACCACTCACATTTTCCCACTTAAACCCTCTATTCATGCGTGAAAGGCACTTTCTAAAGAGGGAAACAGCTATTTTCCGCAGCGCCTTTTTTATTTTGTATTTGTCAATTTAACTTTGTTTTCATTTTATCCTAGGAGAATAGCTTTTTTTTAAGAACATATCTGTTCTTAAAAAAAGACGTCTCTGCCCTTTTCGGCAATTTTTTGTAACCGACAGAACCGTGGACCCGTCGGATCTTCGACATGCAGTATATATACTGTATGTCAAATATCCGGCAGGTCCACGGTTCTGTCGGTTATAATAAATTAACAAAGAGGGGAGACACGTCTTTTCTTTTCCCCGTATCATGGGCCACGGAGACAGATTACTGCTTCAAGGACGGGCATAACCGTCCTTATGCGAGAATGCATACCACAACTAGCAGCTTTGTAAATTAAAAATGACTAGATAAAAAAATGGAAGCCGTTTACAACTCCCTGTAACGACAAATTAGAGCGCAGCTCTAGAGGAGGAGGAGGAAAGGGTGTACCCCTCCCCCCTCCCTCCGAGCGGCGTCGCCGTCGGCTTAACTGTGAGGTCACGTGACCCTCCTTAAGGGGGGTAATGTGACCTCGGGAGGTCACGTGACCCCGCGGGGACGTTTCGGCACGGTGCCGGAACGTCGCCGCGGTTACGGCGACGGCGACACCGCTCAAGCCGAAAACGGGCGCCAAAGAGCTGCGCTGTAAAAGAAACACCAAAACAGCAGGTGCTCAATAAACAATATGGATACCATTCACTATCACAATTGCGGCTAACCAAGCTGAGGCTAATCACATAAAATAAAAAATCTAAAGGCTAGAAAGCGTTAAGAAATTGTAGCAACAAAAAGCAAACATACACGTGTGCGTTTTTGCTTGGGCACTGGTGCACGTTCTGGAAGTTGAGGGGCTGGCTGAGTGCTAGGTCGTTCCTGCAGAAGAGGCAAGCTTGACGGAAAAGGAGCAGTCTCTTCCTTTTTCTTTTCTCCCGCTCTTCATTATTCGTTGATAGGTCGGACGTCGCTTCCGGATTTTTTTTCTTTGAACTTTGCATCTTCATATGTCACTGAAACAAGAAAGCCGAGCACACCACTCAAATGTTTAACCACCACAAGCTCGTTTGCACCCTAACCTTTTGTTCATTAAATCAAATATGCTCGCATTATGCTTAGACAGTTTTTAGGTTAAAGCCTGCCAACTTTTTCGGGCTCATGTATATAATCTGTTAGGATCGGGCCAAGCTCAGGCTTATATTAAACAAAACAAATATTTTGTCGGGCTTGGGCCGGGCTCAAGTTTCTGTCTAAAATTCTGCCGGGTCCGGGCCGGGCCCGAGCCGTGTCTCTTCAAGGCCAAGTCTGGCCGGGCCTGGAAATTAAATATTCTATCGGGCTCGGGCCGGGCCATGCCCCTACTGGGCCGGGTCGGGCCGGGCCTAGAAATTCTGGCTCGTGCAGTGCTCTAGCACACTCTACATTAGGTGAGCAGAGCGCGGCTCTGTTTAGAGCCTATTTCTCTGCCCCAAGGTTCTCAACTCCTTGCTCAGGGCACTCAATGGCATTTGTGGCTCGTTTTCCTTGACTGGGCTCGCTTTTTGACAATATCCCTGATTTTTCCCGGTAATTAAAATATTCTTGACTATTCCCGGTTGCTAGACACCCGCTATACTTACAACATGATGCCATCACCTGACAGGAGAATGTGGCCCGGTCAGTAAAGGGCTCTTCACGCTCTCAATTGCCATCATCAACCGATTTGATCTGTAGGGTGGCCATGCCGTGCGGCCATTGCACGCCCAACAGGTAGGAACAACTGCAACATCATTTTCCGCCAAAAAATGGACCACAGAGTACATTTCCTGAAATCAACAAATAAAGCAACAAATAAATGAACAACAGAGTACATTTCCTGAAATCAACAAATCAAGCCTGTATTACCTCAAAGGCCACTCATAAGCCACGAAAAATAGTTTTCGAATTAAGCACAACCAATGTGCAACGGTTGCAAACATTGATCCCACTTGCAAGTGAAGTAGAAGAAAAACTGCATAGCCCTGGTTATATTGCAAGCAGACGCACTTCCACCTGATGTCCTGCACACTCCACACTGAATACTACTTGGAGAGCCCTGTAGCTCTAAAAATTCCTAGCTCTGATGATGGCAACTTTGAAGTATAAAGGTTGCTGAGATTCCGGAAAAACTGTCCGCAGATGCTACGGTTCCCATCCGACTCAATGAAGGATGGATGGATGGATGTTAATGGCTATTCCCTTTGTAACGGGCGGAAGCTTGCGCCACCTAGCCTAAGTCTAAAAAGACAAAAACGTGATTCCTCCCGCCCTTTTAAGACCAATTTTTCTCCCCCTAACTATCACCAGGCAGTGTGGGATATCACCAGGATGACCTTCGGGGGATCGGGCAAAAAAACTAAAAAACATCACCCCCCTGCCTCTTCCCCCCGGCGAGGGAGTCGCCAATTTTCCTCTGGTCAAACCTTTTCGGCGTCACCCCCGCACCGGACCCACTGGGAGACAGGGTTGAGACTTTGGGCCGGAGCCACGCGGGAGGGAGTCCCAATTTTCCTCTGTCCCAACTGTTCCCAGCTGTGCTAGTTAGTTGTCCATCATTTAATTTTCCCTAGATAATTTCCACCAATCTTCTAATCGTCTCTTTGTCACTGTAATCTTTTTCTCTACCATCCCTCCATCGTCGCCAGTGAAACCCAGGGCCCCAGCCAAATCCTTTACCCCTTCAGGGAGGGCAGGACGAAGCCCCGTGCACTTCAAAACCAAGTGCTCCAGTGTCTCGCCATCATTATGGCAGGCGGCACATAATGTGTCGGTCTCCTGAAATTTAGCCCTATACGTCCTCGTCCTCAAAACTCCCGTTCTTGCCTCGAACAGCAAAGCACTTCCCAGTGAATTGTCAAATAGCTTTTCCTTTACTATCTCCTGCTTTCGTGACCTGTACTATCGGGGAAAAATGAAATGCGAACAGAGGAGCGCGTGGCTCGCGGTACAGGCTGCGCCGCCTGGAAGTGAACCTAGGGGCGAGGGTGCGTGGCCTACTTCGATGTGTTCACGCCCCTCGATTGACGCTTCCCCAGCTTCGCCACTGCGCCGCTCAGTGCGCTGAAAGCTGTCACCGCTATCTTTGCGTGCTCGGTGAGTGCGGCGAGCTTCTTTGCACCGCACGCGCTGAGCCAGCAAAGATAGCGGTGATAGCTTTCAGCGCACTAAGAGGCGCACTGCTGAAGCTTGGGGAGCGCAGAGGGAGGGGCGTGAACACGTCGGAGTAGGCCACGCACCCTCGCTCCTTGGCTCACTTCCAGGCAGCGCAGCCTGTACCGCGAGCCACGCGCTCCTCTGTTCGCATTTCATTTTTCCCCGATAGTACACTGCTAAAGCTGATTTCTCCTGCATTCTCGCCTCCCACATTTTCCTCTCCGCCTCTTTCACCTTCTTTTTCACTGACGTAGTCTGTTCAGCCCCATCACCAGTGTGTAGATATTTAAATGTAAGCTTTCGGGTTCGGTTCGTCCATTTTGTGTTTAAACTTTTCATGTATAAATACTTGAATACCTTACGTGCCCACCGCGTATCCTCCATTTCAGTCAACCTTTGTTCAAATTTCAACTTACTAATTGCCTCCCTGCTCTCAAAAGACGACCATCCCACGTCCCCCTGTACTCCCTCATTTGGTGTTTTTCCATGTGCTCCCAGCGCCAATCTGCCTACGTTTCTTTGTCGAATTTCTAGCCCTGATTGAACCTCAGATTTCATGCACAGCACTGCATTGCCAAAAGACAGTCCTGGCACCATCACTCCCTTCCATATACCTCTGACCACTTCGTATCTGTTATAGTTCCATAGTGCCTTGAGCTTCATAATAGATGAATTTCTTTTCCCTTTTCTAATTGTATTCTCCTCGTGTTCCTCTAGATATTTCCTTCCCTCATTGAGCCAGACCCCTAGATATTTGTACTTTTCTACGTGTTCTATCACTGTGTCCTGTATCTCCAGGGGTTCCCCCTTCTCATCAATGAAAACTATTATACCCGACTTGTCCCTACTGAATTTTAGTCCTAAACTGTCCCCTTCCCTGCTGCAAATCCTAATCAGTTCCTGTATTGTCTCACGGCTTTCTGATACGAGTACAATGTCATCTGCATACATTAACCCTGGCAATAGTTGATTTACCTTATGTCCTTCCTCCACGTAATTCAGGTCAAAACCTAGGTTGCACTGTTCTAACCTTTTTTCCATCCCACTGAGGTATATCATAAAGAGCAGGGGAGACAATGGGCAACCCTGTCTAAGTCCTCTTTTTATTGCTGCTGGTTTTGTAGTTTCGGCTTCCCATTTCATAATCACCCTATTCTCCGTATAAACCCGTTCTAGGAACTTAACCGTGGTTCCCCCTAGGCCATACCCTTTTAGCTGTTCCCAAAGTATTTCCTGATTCACATTGTCATATGCCCCTTTGATGTCCAAAAATGCTTCCCATAATGGCCTTTAGCTTGTCAGAGAGCCGTATATGTAGAGAGTTTGGCCATTCGTTGGGAAGTATAGGAGACAAATGCGGAGGCGCCATTGGCCGCAAGCGGGCTGGGCGTGTTCCAGGGCGTCTTCAGAAATTCGAATGTGACCAACCAGAAGCCGGAAATAATACCCTGGCGGTGGTCGCGAGAAACAAACCTGATAACTGCATTGGAGTAACTCTCGATGGCTGAAAATATGGTACACGTGATGTTTTAATCGCACTCATCTAAAATGATGGTGGAAAAGTGCGACTAGCGGAAAGATCGACATAATCCTTACGCCAAACGCCGAGCGCCGGGAATCTGCCGTCAGAGCGGTCACACTCTGTCCGCGCAAAACAGAGTTGAGCGGCGCATTCGTTTCTTACATCTTTCTGCATAATCATAATAAAACAACACGTGCACCCTATTTTCAACCACAAAGAGTTACTACACTTCACTCTTACGCACTTATTAAAAACATATACGAACAGAGACCTCCGATGATCGATCGGCTCAGAACTGTTTCTCGCTACCACCGCTAGGGGATTCTTTTCGGCTTCTGGTTGGTCAAGAGAGCATGCCAAGCCCTCTTTCCGAGTCTGCCGCACGCCCTGGCTCTGCCCGCGCCTCCCATTGACCAAACTCTCCACATATACGGCTCTGGCTTGTCATTGCTATCTCTATGAAGTTCCTAACGACAGCAATGTTGCCACCCTTCAGTTGAACAGTTGTTGGACGGCTTCAGAGAAAAATGCGCTCCGTCTAAAACAAGCTCACTGCACTGGGTTCCCTTGAAGCTTGGCGGCTCAGGTCCGTCTCGGTGTTGCTTGAGGGTCCATACCACAACAGAGAATGACATTTTAGCGAACGGCGACATTTGAGCGACTGGTCGTTTTAGCGAATAACGGGGGCGCGCGTTAACCCATCCGTCGCGCTGCGCTTTACGCCGCTTCGCGGCGACAGTCTGCGGCAACTCATTACAAAAATATGAACTCGCTTGGCCCACCCGAAAACGCCGCTCTGCGGCGTCCGACTATTCGCTAAAGTATCGTTCGATGAAACGTGGGCGTTCGCTAAAACGTCATTCGATCAAGTGAGTGCCTCCCGGCTAGGGTCGTCATAGCACAGCTGAGCTTTATGAAGTGTGCATAAAAGCGCTTTTCCAAATGGTTTCTAAGGAGCACTGGCCCGGGGGAACTGACAAGGGGATAAAGGAAAGGGGATTTTGAAGATGGGAGAGGTAACGCGGGGAATTCGCAGCGGGGATTTTGACACAGGTGTTTTGAGATTAGGTTATTTCGTGCACCACCCGTATCGCTCGTCTCAGATTCGCACTCGGAAGCTCGTTGGTACTCAAACTCTCCGGAAATCTTGCATGTGCTGCCACGGCCTGTTGTCCAGGTGGCAGAGGGAATGCTTCCTCAGTGTCCACCGACTCCTCACTGCTCGTATCCCAAATTTCAAGTTCCTTGCGAACACTTTCGGCTACCCTACGTCTTTTTTGGCGATCAGATAGCTCTGATAGCGAACGCTTCGCCCGCTCCATTGTTCAGCACAAGTAGCAACAAAAACAAAAATGAAACATACCTTTGTTTACGTTTCCTCCACGCCGAGAGAGCGGCAAGTCCGTTGACATGCGGTCGCGTGGTCAACCTGGCCGACCTGGCTGGCGACCTGGCTTCGACCTTGCTTGGCTTGAGCTACTTGCACATCTTGGCTGCATCTTGGCGTCTTGGCTTGTCAACAGTGTGAGTAAACGACTAAATATGAAGTGTCAAGTAGGAATAAACTCTGGAAATTTATCCGACAGTTCTAAATTAAGTTTTCTTTAAGAATTATAAAACACGAGATCGGTTGGAGAAATTGGAAATTAGTATAAGCCGTACAGCCATAACCGTAAAGCCGTACGGCCGTACTTGTGCAACCATGGTGGACGGTGGTGATATCGGTGATATGGTGATCTTGCAACGCCTTGGAGTGAATCAGTGGATGACCTCGACCGTAATATCGGTAATGATAGTGAACTGTTAACGTCGAAACGGTAGTACCATAGCTATGCGACTGTGCTGTGCCATTGTGATGTGTCCAGATAACAAATGTAGGCAAAGAGTGGTCCACGCAGAGCGAGCTTCGAAGCCTCAAACTCAAATATTGGAGCTTTATGTCCCGGGATGGTTTGGTTTTGTTCTGACCACTTGTGTCGACAGCTCTTTGGCGAGAAGTGAACGAGGACTAACTATGTGTGCGATTATACTCGTTTCATTTTAATTGCGTGCGAAGCAGGAACACACGAGTGACGCACAGTCGCCCGGGCGCTGGAAATATTGTTCAACAATAGTATGCG